TTCGATTCGTCCCCTCATACATGAACAACCATGCTCTCCTTTCGTTTCCCTTTTGAGCCTGTTGGTAAGCTAGTTCACTTGAGCGAGTTTTGCCTTGTGCGTTGACACGCACAAATCGAGAAGGTACTAAATCGGCAGTGTGTGACACGCACAAATCGGAAGTGCGATGACACGCACAATTCGAGGATGTACCAAGGACTTGCCACGTTGATCGTGGCTCAAGGTCACGTCAAAAGGCGTGACTGCGGCGCGTGCGGGGCGTCGGGCGCTCGTGGCCACTAGTCGCAGTGGCGGGTTCCACGGAGGGTTGACAGGTGTTTTCATTTTGGTTGACCACTGTTAAATCCCTGAAGTGAAACTTCATAGGTGGTGGTGGTGGTGGCGGTGGTGGCGGAAGAGGAGGAGGAGCAGGAGGAGGAGCAGGATCAGGAGCAGGAGCAGGAGCAGGAGCAGGAGCAGGAGCAGCAGCAGGAGCAGGAGCAGGAGCAGCAGCAGGAGCAGGAGGAGGAGGAGGTGAGAATGTAAGTGTCTGCATCATGGCGATCTCCAAGTGCTGGGAAAGCCTCACATATGCCTGCATGTATACCAGGGCAAGTGAGGACAGCACCAACACCAACGCTGCTTAAGGCCCGGTGACACGGGCGGCCCACGAACGGGGTTGTAGCGTTTGTCCAATTCTTTTTTCCGACCGGAAGGGATTCCGTCCTACTTACGTACTTTTACTGCTTTTACTCTTGGTTCACCCGCGAGCTCAGCTGACGAAAGAGTGCCTCTGGCTCAGCTGACGGAGGTTGCTTCGATTGGCCCACCCAACGGGTGGTTCCGGGGTTTCACCGTTCCTCGTTGGAGGAACGTGCTGAGACGTGGCCGTTCCGACCGGTGCGGTACAGGTCTTGCCGGTGACCGGTCCCCGAAGGGAGAAGGAGCGACGCGCCTAGCGGCTAGCGTCCGTGCACGACGCGCCGTGAGCGCGTCGCGTCGCGGCTTGTTCCACATGTGACGTTTCGGTCCGCGACACCTGGTTTCTGTGCGTTTTTTCAACGGTTGGATGACTCCATTTCGAAAGCTCCGAACCCTGTTCACCTATGCGAAAGCTCCGAACCCTGTACATCCATCATAAGCATCCTGTTCGAACCCCAAGGTAAGGGACCGAGAACGAAGGGGACGGGGGAAAATCAGGGACCGGGCGATCAAATCCCCAGTTGGCCAGCAGACCAAGGGGATCCAATGGGCAGCAGACAGCGACACCCTATAGCCCGCCCAACTGTCCTCAAGCTGAATGGCAACATCTTCTATGCCTGCGCTTTTCGCGGGAGCATCTCAGAAGTGTCAAGCAGTGTCAAGCAGTGTCAACATGTCTATTTCTCTTTGGTGTGTGGACATAGCAGGGCCCCTTGCCAGTTCTCCCCGTCAGGAAAGCTTTATCCCAATGGTAAATGGCTCTTTTTTTTTGGAATAGCACTCCCCGCTCAAGAATCTGGGAAGAGCCAAGACATGCCATGACCATCCCAAAACCCAGGACCACTTGGTGATTCGCCCCCTTTTCACAATCAAATCCACCACCTGACCACCCCACCCCAAAGGCCACCAGGCCTAGCAGCCCAAAGGCCAGGACTTGCTGCGCCAGAACCACGCCCACCTGAGACCCACAGAGAGTCTCCGTCTGACCGGCGGAGGAGGGGAAGGGAAGGGGAGACGAGCGCCAAACGACCTACAGGAGGCGTTTCCTCTGACGCCACGTGCCCAGCGAGACCGACGAGCGCCTCACGCCGTTCGCGTCCGTCCCGTGCGCGCCGGACGTGCGCCTGCAGCTGCGTCGGTAAGATGAAGGGCAGCACCGCGAGCCAAAGAAAGAGCCATCCTGGGTGCCGCTACAGGGAACAAGAAGCTACAAACGGGGCTCCTGGCATCGCTACTAGTAACCAGAAAGAGCCATCCTGGGTGCCGATGTGTGGCGTCGCGACGTCAGTCACGGTGTGCTCCTGCTTTCGGGGGGTGACTACCTCAACCCGTGAGACAGACGCTCGGGGGTTCGGGTCGGTCAGCGAGGGGGTCGCGAAGCTCACCGGTGCTTGGGTCACGGTGAGACCTCACGGTCCGCCGCACCGAAGAAAGGGTTCCGTCGACATCGTAGAATGGGTTCGCGTTCCATTCAAAGAGATCGGACATAAAAGCTCCCCTAAAGAGGCCAAGTGCATCTCCCGCACCAGACATCAATCCGGTGTCGAACGTGAGCCAATCTCTGTCGAGTCTCTAGCAGATTCTTGTAGGATCTCCGGAACTGCCTGCCGTTTGCAGAGACCGATGAAGACGGCAAGAACCAGAGAAGCCGGCACTTTTTGCTCCTTCTTGGATGACAGATCCCACCTACATGCCTGGCTTGAGGTTTTGGATGATGCAATCTTTGGCCATTTGGAGTGGGGAGGCACCCAAAAATCATCGAGATTCGCTCCAACTCTCACCACACATCCCCCAAAGTGTCTGGAGTGTTTTGTATGTGTTTGTTTCATCACCCTCCGTTCTTGCCCCCTTTGCCCTTCGCACGCAGGAAGCCCCGCAGGGCTTCCCCTCCCCACTGCCCACCTCGTCGCGCGAGCTTTCGCACGTCTCCGCCGCCTCCGAGAGCTGGGTCCTCGGAGCCCGTTCCGTCCCGGTGGCCGCGCGCGGTGGACCGAGCGGCTGGACCGAGGACCGCGGTGGTCGACTTGGTTTCGGGTCCTTTTTTGGGGAGGGGGGTTGGGTGGAGACCCTATTTTGAGGATGAAACATGATGAAACATGCTTCGAACCCAGAAAAACACACACCTTGTCTGAGTGAAAAAGAAAGAAAACACCACATTTCTGTCAGATGTCTCGAATAGCAAACGGGTGATTCTGTACGGAGAGGATTTACTGGCCTTGTAGAGTGGGACTTCACTGCCTGCACTAATCTATATACCTTTGGTCTATCCTACAACCAGTAACAGTGGATGGTGATGGTTAGGTTGTAGGCCTTGCTCAAAAATAGTGATTTCTTTGCTTAGTGACGGCTCACGGCTCTACAGGTAAGTGACAGACCCGTGACCCAAGACCCAAACCTACCCCTTTCAAAGTTCAACCATCATCCAAAGGTGGGGCTTCTTTGAGTCCTCAGCTTTCACCTCAAAGTGATGCCACTCCAATCAAGAAGACGTGACACTGTGAGAAAACCATCAACACTCTTCCATTTGTTGCAGGCACCATGGCCAGCGATTGCTGAAAACCACAAAACATATGGTTTTTGATGGTTTTTGAATGTTTTTGAGTATCACCAAGTGACACTTCGTCTCGCTTCCCAACACTGGAATCACCACCGTCAGTCACCGCTAACACTGGAAGGCCCAGTGGCAGGGCGTCTTGCATGACCGCATCCTCCCCCTCCGGCAACTTCAGCTTCGAGGCAGAGACCTCCGACGCGACGGGCGTCGAAGAGGGAAGAGAGAGGGGGCGAGAGAGAGAGGGGGGGGATGCAGACGCGTCAATTCAAGTCGAGCGTTGTGACACCGGTTCGAGAAGAAGCATTTGAGGTGAGATGTGCTGCTATCGGAATCGTTCGTACCTTATCCGGAAGATGCATCTATCCAACTTCTCTCAAAAAGTCAGGCAACGAGGCAGATTGAAGCTCAAACGCAAACGGGTGCAGCAACTGAGGAAACATTGGAGACCTAAACAGAAAAATGTGGTGTTGAATAGAATAGATGCCCTATTTGGGTAAAGAACTTTGAAAAACTGCCCTCTTTTTCCGAGTTAGACTGCCACATGTCTGCGCATTCGAATGTCAAACCACCCACGCGCGCGCGCGATGGAAGGCGCTTTCGTACCTGGAGTTTTCGTAGGACGAAGCTGGCAGCAGACATGCCCGGTGGCCTGGTCAGAACCTCACGCAGGGACCCCAGCCGCCGTGTTCCGGGCCGAAACGGAGCTCCCGGTCGCCGCATCGAACGGGCGTGCGGAGGCTCCGGTCCCTGGGTCCGTTTTTGGGTGAGACCGGAGGACCGCTGCTTCCGGGCGTTCAGGTCTTCATCGGACCATCTCGGAAAAACCTGCCCGCGCCGGGTGTTTGCCGATCGATTTGCAGAGTGCACATCGAACCTGGAACCATCCGATCGAGACTGCTTCAGCCTGAGACCCACGGCGTCTCACCCCACCAATCTCCGAGTGATGGGAGTCGGAAGACCAGAGGGTCAACCCTCCAGAGATACCCCCACAAACTGGCTGACGCTCCATCATTCAAAGGGTCGGCGTGTCCTCTGCGTCCTCTTCCCGCCCATCTCGGACCAACCTCAGACCGACTCTGGCCACGTGCGGTCCCGGGACCGGGAAAACCACCGCCCGCGCGTGGAAAAAACACATCGCACGAGCGAAACCGCCGGACCGTCCGGTGTCGTGGGGAACGTGGTGATCTCGGTCCGCACCTGGGCGATCTCGCGCTCGGTGATGCCTCCATCAAAGGCCTGGCCGCTTGAGCGTCGACGGGCGGAGGCCGTCGAGGCCGGAGGACGTCGACGTGTGAAACAGCGGGTCTTCATGCGACCCGCCGAAGAGAAGCGCGTTGGGCGCGTGAAAAGTTGGGGAACAATGGGACCCAAGGGTGTGGGAAGAACTGCGACGTGTTCCTGGTTTGTGATGGAACCAATTGGAAGTAACCCGAGATTTCTTTGTACCTATATTATGATTGTGGAGTGATCTTCTCGGAGTTGAACACTTGGATATAAGAACCTATAAGGTGGACATGTCCACACACAGTGTGCTTTTCACCCACCGCAAGCTACCTATACCGGGTCTACCCACAGCAAAGGCAAGTCTATTTGTTGAGGTGGACGTTTTTGGACATCTCCTCATGAGGATGTCAACGTCTTAGGTTGCTCTGGCAAGTCTGGTGGTTTCCACCACCGTTGGAGCCGCCGCCGTGGTGGTGGAAACCACCACCGTGGGGCGTTCGTTTCTTCTTCCGCACCTCGAAAGACCCTGGACCCTTCGAGCGCTGCAGGACCAGCTCCAACTCCTCCGCTTTGGTCAAAGACCCAGTGACAGACCCAGTGACCAGCCCCACGACATATCCAAAAAAAGGTCCATCATGATGGGTCCAACAATGGGGGAAAGGTGTCCTGCCTTCCAAGTCTTTGGTGCCCAACAAACCACTGGAAAAAGGGGGCGCGTGAACTACCAATTTGATCATTGGGACTACCTGTCAAGCTCTATATACAATGCATGACACCCACATGAAGTCCCTCATCTTCCGACACCCGACCACCGAGCTGTTGAATGTCTTCCCGCAACTTCTCTCTTACGCAGCAACTGGGAGGTGCCTTTTTGTTGCCCCGCGAGAGAATCGGAGGACGAAATTGACTGCAACCCAAAAACAAGGATCGCTTTCCCCTCCGAAGTACCCCTGAAGATTTGAGAAGATTTGGGAAGGATAAATGACATGTGATGACGGTTTCCTTGTGCTCTGCTTCACCTGCTTTTTTGCCCGTCCTCCTCTTCCAGCTTTCGTAGGTCCCAAAGCAATGCCGCTGGGAACCTGTCAACACAAAATAGGGCACCGGAGGTTCCCGAGATTGGCCTGTGACCGTGAAGACAAAATTACACCACCGTAGACAAATGAAGAGAAATGCTGCATGGCCAGAAAAGGGCGGACACCAGTGACAGAAAGGGCAGACACATCCTAAGAAAGAATTGAGAACCCCTAACAGTAAGCTGTTTGGGGAAAAACTCCGTTCACTGGGTGCAACAACCACACGGTGGTCCACGCGAGCCGAGCACCGCTTGCCGCTGAGCGACGCTGGAAGCCAATGTGAGAAGACCATGAAGCTCTCACCTTTGCTAGAAAGATGGACCAAGCTCGGACCTGTTTTGAAAAAAGAACCTCACCCAGACACGACTAATGGGACTGCCACATATATATATATATATGCCTACACTGACCCCCCTGGCACCACCCCTGGCCGTTTCTCGGCAGTCCGGACTGGCAGTCCCAGACAGGTCGTGTCTGGGTCTCCGACTTGGAAGTGGATGGCATGGACACGACTGGAACACGACCTTCGACACGAAACGGGATGGTGTAGCCCCGTTCTCCACGTCACATCACGTCACCATGTGATGTGTCCGTCGGAGTGGGCACCGCACGACTCGGCACATGAACGAATTCGCGACTCGACGACTCGACGACTCGGCACGCCGAAGCCCGCACTTCTGACCGCGACTCTGAGGAAAAGACGCTCAGACTTTGAAAGATCTTCGATGAAGTCCGGGTCACCACTTGGAACACATTGCATATACCCTAGAAGTCCAGTTCGACTATTCTATTGACCGGCTGAAGTAAGGGAAGTTCCCTTTCAGGTCCCCTAAAGACCATTCTTTTTAGAGTCTTTGACTCCCAATGTATTATATATATATATATCAATCTACAGTATCAAGATACACTCCATCCATGAAAAGCAACATGTCACCGCTGGTTGCGGTGGCTGCTTCCTCCACATGGATATCATCAAGAAAGCAACATCTAAATGCATCCACTGGTGACTTCGGAAGCAATCTGCAGCCCTCATAAGGCCAAGTCACGATCTGCCCACACATGGCTTTGCCGATTGAGGTTCCTGGCTGCGGCGGAGGTATGTGTCGGTCCCGACTTCATGTTGGGAGCGCAACAGCACACTTGGAGAATCAATGCAAGGGCAGGCAGCTGAGGTAGCTTGCACACTCTTGCGATACGATCGTTTCTATATGAATTCCTCCCAGAGACCTTGGGACCCGAAACGGGACCGAAACGAGACCTTCAGGGGAAGACGATGTCCACGGCTGTCCTCGTGACGTTCACGAGGTCACTCCATGCTTGCTGCCCTCGTTGAAAGCGCTCCGTCGCCCTCGTGACGCGATGCCTCGGTGACGACGACCGACGGGAGCACGGTGGGGCCGACGAAGACGGCGGGGGTGGTGGGGATCGTCTGAGTGAAAACCCCATATTGGGGATCAAGAATTCGAGAGGCATGCGGCATGAACCCTCAACCCTTCTCTTCTGAACACAGCTGAGCTGCGCTAGCAAAATGCCAAGGAAGAAGGTACAGGCCACGAAGGGTTCGATGGGAAGCACCAAGCTGCCGCCTCGACACATCTGCGCAGGTCGACGCAACCCAACGAGCGGAAACCTGAAACGGCAATGGTGGAAGCCACCACCGGGCTTCCCATTTGTCCAAAGAAAGGAATCCCACTTGGAGTCATTGCTGCAAGCCTGAACGAGCGGCAACCTGACCAAAAACCTCAGCATCTGACTTCACCCCAACAGCGGCCCGGAATCCGGCACCTGGAAGGAAGTAGAAATGGAAGATGAAGACTGCCTGCATCTCGGATCTGTGTGAGAAAGCCCTCCCTGCATCTCAGATCTTTCCAATTTCTTTGTTTTTTGGTCATCTACTTGATGGGATTCACTGGGAACTGTCCCATATGATTGAAAGTAGACAATCTGCAAACCAGAGCAGAGCTTTGCCACGGAAGAAGAATCAACGCAGAGAGCGCCCACCGCCCGTGTCAGGACCGCCCACCGCCGAGATGAAGTTGAGAAAGGTCAAGGGCTTCCGCAGCCTCTCCACAGAACGGAGAGCACGACTGTCTCTCTACGACGGTCCACGCCCACGCGGTTTCAACGACCGGAACATGATGGACCTACGACGTCGGGGGGCGGAGCCGAACGGGGGGCGGAGCCGGGTCCGAGCGCCAGAGAGGTGGGGGTGGGGGTGTAGGAACTCCTCTGGATAGGAGATAGGATGGAGGCTCCGATGTCTTCAAGCAGCCAAAGAAGTCGTTTCGCATATCTTTTCATATCCCCTAGAAGTCCAAAGACTATATTATGACCGGCTGAAGTAAAGGAAGTTCCCTTTCAGGTCCCCTAGTATCTGTTCATCCTCCGAAGGGTCTTCGGAAGCCCATCCACCTCAAGAGAAGATCTGGCTGCAGTCCAACTCGGATGATACTGTCCAGGATGTCATGAGACTCCTCAGCGACGAACGATCACCAAGATCTGCAAACAAAAAGCACAAAAAGGATCTCACCCCCACAGAAGCTCCTTTTCTCTTGTAAATCCTGACGCAAAGGAGTGGTTCCAAAACAAAAAATGGGAAGTCGAAATGAAAACCACCTGTCACGTCTGGAGAAGATCCTGTCCTCTGTGACGTTCCTTTTGTTCGAAGAAAAGCGGCCTTCGATTTCGGTGCCAAACTGTGGACGAAATCCCGAGCCCCTTTTTCTCAAGCAAGGCACGGTCGCTGCAGGTGGAGCAACACCTCAAAAATCGCCGTCGTCGCAACAAACAGAGCTCAGCGCTCTTTTCTACGAAGCACCAGTGGGTTTGCAGACATGTCCAGGTTGGTTGCATCGTGGTTTCTGGCCTCAACTGCTGTACACACCACGGCATCTTTTGAATGTTACCCGGTTCGAAACCCGGGCTCCCCTGCGAGCTCTCCGTCCATCTTCGGGTCCTGGCGCCACGCGAAGGGGGTCGAGACGGTGTCTAGAAGAAGGCCTGGTGCTCATCAAGCTGAAGTACATACACCACAGGTCATCACCAAGAACATCTGCCAGGCCTCTCATTCAGGCTCCCAAGAACTGACCTACTGCGCAGATTCTTCGCATTTAAACCAAATAGACCAGAAAAACATCCACAAAATCGGCAGGTTCTCCTACCAGCTGATATGCCAGTGCTGGTGCCACAGCCACACAGAGTGGAAGCAACCTTAGGTGATGCTTGGACCCTCTCTGTTGCCGGCCCGTGCTCTCAAATAAATTCCTATGTCCTGTAGTTACCTAGGTAGCGGTCAAGAAATTGCATTTCGACGACGAACAACACTGAAATTTGTCATTCAATGAGTTCGTTTTATCCGTTCGTTCACATCTTCAAGGTGGCCTGGCAAGCACATGGCGGTATTGAGTCGGACCTAAATCCAGGTCTTCATGTTGCTTGGGCCGGCCATCCTATCTATCCTATCTGTTTAAACTGATGGACCCAATCAATAGAATGTCTATCCGGTGAAGCATGTTGACAAGTGACGCTCGAGCAAGGTGTTCATGACAAACATTCCGATCCTCTGTAAAATGATCCCAGGCTCACCCGCACAATGTCCACATGGTGCATCTCCACTTCAACACCAAAGAACCGCAAAACAACAGCAATCCCCCGAAGGACCATATAGGGATTAGTTATTCCCTGGGAGTCAAAGACTCTAAAAAGAATGGTCTTTAGGGGAACTGAAAGGGAACTTCCCTTACTTCAGCCGGTCAATGGAATAGTCTTTGGACTTCTAGGGTATTAGTTATGAACGTTTCGCTGAGAACGTTTCGCTGCTTCACCTGCTTTGATTGACTCCGTCTCTTCCGTCTCTTCCGTCTCTTCCACCACGGTGCTCGCCCAGGCCAGGCCTTGCAATCCTCGACTCCTGGACCAGACGACGACGTCGTAGTCGGGTTCGTTCGAAGAGAACGAAGAGACGGAGAGATCATTACGGGTGGAGGCCCCGGAGCAGGCTCTGTGAGTCCAAAAACACCCGCGAGCCATCAACCATCATCAACCCATGGTACGTTGGACCTTGTCTACAGAGGTCGTCGATTTCGGTTCTTCCCGTCGCGTCGAATCGTTCGCATACCCTGGCATACTGATCGTCGAATCGGTTCCGTCCCCGTCGGATCGTCGTCAACCCACCGCTTTGGGTCCACCGGTCCCCCGCTTCGACCGGATGTGGGTCGATCCCAAACGGCCCAGTGGATGATGGGGCCTGGTTGGAGGCCAACATCCAGCAACGGATGTGGCAGGCTACACCCATGACATCACTGTCCAAGTGACGGACACATCACCCAGTTGACTTCGCCACTCCGAGTTCGTACACGGCGTTTGGATGCGTGGCCCGCATGAACTCCGCCCGCCTCTCGGGCCCATCTCCGCCCGGCTCTCGCGTGGCCCATCCGAACCTCAGGTCGCGCAGCGCTGGGGGGCGTGCTTGGCTTGGCCAACTTGCATCAAAAGATGTTCCTCTGGGAATCCCCCTGCTTAGAAACAAGAAGCTAGTAGGAACAAGTGCATCGCTACTAGTAACAAGTGCCTTACTAGTAGTAACAAGAAGCTATTAGAAACAATAAGCTCTGTTAAACATGGTTTTGAGTTTTGAAAGAATGCAAAAGGGAAAATGGTCCAAAGATGCTCCAAAGATGGTCAAGAGACTGGACGGCGAACCGCCTGAAGTCCGACACCGCCGGTCGGTCGTGGTGTGAAGCTCCACGACGTCGTGGCGAAGGTCATTGTCGTCGCAAGGATCAACACGATTCGCCTCATCGTCTCGCCCGTTTCTCGTGGCAAAACAAACACAGTTGCGAGTCAAGTCGACGATCAAAAGAATGGTCTGACTAGGTGACCCGAGTGAAAAGGAAGATGCTTTTGAACTCGGTCGGTCAAAATATAGTCTTTTGGACTTCTAGGGTATACATATACTGTACTATATTTTAATATACTATACTTTATACGTACATAATATTATTGTGTATATTGAAAAACAAACACAATAATATACTGTACGTACGAACCACACCAGGCGTCTCACACTGCGAAGACGAAAGGACTGAAGAGGCATTAGACTAGTCAGCGTCTTCCAGTTCTTACACCGAACCAAAACCCAAAAACTCCCAAACCAATGGAGAACAAATCGCATGAGTCTATAGAAGCTACTAGTAACAAGGGCACTACTACTAGCTAGAAGCTACTAGTAGCAAGTGCATCGCTATTAGTAGCTGGAAGCTACAAGAAATCGCATGCGTCGCACCCTCTTCCGTGGCCGCGAAGCGCCACGCCCAGGCTCAGCGCTGAGCCGCGGCGCCGCGCCTGCGCCTGGCGTGGAGACGTGAGACGATGCCAGGAGCCCCGTTCGTAGCTTCTTGTTACTACTAGTAAGGCACTTGTTACTAGAAGCGATGCACCTGCTCCTACTAGCGTTCTTGTTCCTAGTAAGGCCACAACCGTCCAGGCCAAAGCGCAAAGACCGGGAATCGTCTGAGATCGTCTGGTGTCCAACAGCCCAACAATCTGCTGCCAACATCTGAAGGATCCAACAAGGCCCAACCAATCTCTGGTGGGATCGTCTGGTGGACGTGTCAAGTGGATCTATCCATGCGGATCAAGTGCGAAAACCTGAGCGATCCATTTGTTCCCCCTTTTTGAAGAGTCGGTGTCCAGTTACGATGGATCGAAGGCGACGAACGCACGACTGGCAACTTGCACTTCATACAAACGCAAGACATGGACGTGGAAACGAGCACATGGCAGGTTGGTTCTTGTCCATGTCCACGTAGTCACCTCTCCAGCTGTTTACCAATGAAGAGAACCGAAGCCCCGCGTCCTGCCTGACGCCTCGAAGCTCCCAGCATCGGATGAAGCCGCGCTCAGCTGCCGTCCATCGAAGCTCTGCGGCGCGTCCAAGCCGCCACTCGGAGCCCAAACTCCGGCGGAAACGGCCAGCGCACGACCAGGAGGTGAGGGACGGGACTTGTGTCGGTGCAGGACTCGGACGAAGTCGAGGCGATGTGTGATGTTCGGAGCATCTCCGTTCTCGTCTTCCCCAGCCAACCCCCCAGGGTAATTCTATTCATGACGAAGTATATGAATATAGTTATAAGGATGACGGATGATATAATATATATAATATATAATATGTAATATATATATAATATATTGTATATATAATATAATATATATATATAATATTCAAGCTATTCTTCATGTTCTTCCCTGAACTGTGAAGTCGATGTCCATCCCGACCGGTGTCTTTCACGGGACGGGACATGAAGTCACCCGTTCGCTCACTTCAGCACGACCGGCATCGACCAACGAGGGTGCCCCGGTGACGCCGGCATGAGCCAATGTTGTCGGCACAGCTCTTGGTGGACCCATGAGCTCCATGGCCAGCTTCTTGGTGGACATGCCCATGGCCAGCTTCTACAGATCGGTCTCAGCTGAATGATCTGCTTCATCTGCTCTTCAGCTTGCTGCAACACCAAGCTGGACGAAGCTGCTTCACTGGATCTGCCGTGGACGGTTCCAAAAACGGTCGCAGAGTCGGGCGCCGGCGAGGCGCGCGCGCGCGCGCGTGTTGGTTTTCTATCTCGCAAAGGCGATCATTCATCTTAGCTTGTTGTTGCCATATTGCTCTCTATCTCGGTTGCTTTCCTATCTGAACCTACAGCTTCGGGCCCACTAAAGCTAGCGCCTTTTTAGCTGGTCGTTCCTCCTTGGGCTGGGGCGTTCCCTTTAGTGGACCCTGGTGCACTACTCCTATTCAGTCGGTCAAAGGCAAAGGTTTCCCGTGCTCTCCTGCTGTACGCAAGGCGGATTGGCCGACTGGGAACAACGTGCTGCTCCGAGGCCAGGCGAAGATCAACAAGAAATCCTCTGGATGTCTTTGGCAGCGCAACAAAAAGGTTGAACCTCATTGACATGGTCTTCTTGATCTCTACCATGTCACATTCCAGCTGTCAAAGATAAAGGTTAAACGTGCATTCTTCTCTAATGAGATTTGAGGTAAAGGTTAAACATGGTCTTCTTCTCCAAAAAAACTTTAACCTCATTCCAGCTGTCAACGGAGGATGTCAACGGTGCATGGAGTAAACCCCACATGTGAGACGAACGCGACATCTCGTCATCAAGACATGTCTGGTGCCTGGCATCAAGAAGCTGCACGGCAACAAAGCCCAGCAATGTCAGTGTTTCGAGAGAGAATTGCCGAATCAATCCAACCAGAAAAAAGGAGGACCAAAAGATTTGGAAGACTTGCCAGACTTGACTTGTCAGCGGTTCTCTTCATGCCTGTTCTCAACACACAACCAAATGATGAGGCTGTGAGATGACAAGTCTCCAGCGTGCTGATGTTTCGACAAGTCCCTCCCATCCGACGGGTTTGCTTTCCTGCAAGCTAGCAAAAGGAGGGCGAGGCGCTCCGCACTCTGTAACTCTGTTTACTTCGGTTGTGTCTCGCTTGCCAACAGGAACCGGGGACACTGAAAATCCAAAAACCGTCAAAACCCCAAAGATCCAGACATAGCCGGACATGTTGGCTGAAAGAATCTATCAACATTCTGGGGTGTGAGGTCTCTGCTCAAAAAAGACATAAAAAGACTGTTTTGTTCACATCCAATAAACAAAACGAAGAAAAAGGGTTCTCACTTCTCTCACTAAAAGAAGAACAAACAAAAGCAAAAATCTACCAGGCTACAAACTCATGAACACCTACCTTGGATTCTGCATCCTACTCCCTACTTCCTCCCCGATATTCATGTGGGAGGGGCTCCGTTCCTCTCGTTCCTCTCGTTCCTCTCGTTCCTCTCGTTCCTCGTTGGTTTTGGCGAGACGAGACGGCCGCCGGTCCGTCCGGCGACCGCGGCGCGACGGCCGTGGAGCGCCGGGCCCGACCACAGGTGTGGCGGGCGCAGGTGGCGGCCACAGCGGTCTTCGCTGTGACCGCCGAAGGACACCGGTCTCCGCGGGGCGTGGCGGTGGTCCTCGTGTGGGGTGGAAAGGGACGACCCAAAACTAATTAATGTAAAAAGAGAACAAAGAACAAGAGTCGTTCCCCCTAAGATGCGAAATTAACTTTATAGTCATGTGTTCCTTTGTGTGTTCTGGATGGAAAGCGACGTCTGGACCTGCTTCGCACAGTAGATTCAATATATACAAGAATTGGCGAACGTTGCGGGCGAAAGCTGATTCCCATGGGCAGCCTTGTTTACTCAACAAAATCACAGACCGAACCGACTAACCTGTCCAAGTCGAAAATCAAGCATCATCACCATCATTGCATCATCGGAAAAGAAGAAAAAAATAACATCCGTCAGTTCTCAGTTCCCTGTCTTCGCCCGAAAAGGCTCCAAGGTAGGCAGCTGCGCGCAGCGTGAAACTGCCTCAACTTCTGTGCAGAAGAGGCACTCTGAGACGAGACGATCCGCTGGACGTGACGAGAAGTCGTCGCCTTCTTCACATCCGTGGCCCTTTGGACATGTCTGCCACCATCGTCGTTTCGCTGAAACCGGCAGTGCTGATGTTTTACGGCCAAAAGTGCTGAGCATGTCATGTTCTGTCATGGAAAAGAGCTTCCGTCCTTTTCTGTTCCCTACACAGTGAATCTACTGAATCTACTTCTATCATTTCGACGCTTTTCTCACCGTCCACTTTTCAGGATCCCATCTCACACCGAAAAAGAAAACACGTCTCCTCCAGAACCGGCGCGGGTGGGTCGTATCCATGTGTTCTCCGCCGGAACCGGGGACACTCCACTCCATCTTCCGCCACCCGCGCAGACATCGGTTGGTTCCACCTCCGTCAGGTGTATTGCATCTCCACCTCCTCCGCCGCGACCATCTTTTGAGCCAAGACCGCCGCGGTCCTGGGCCCGACTGACCCGACCGGCTGCGGACCCGGACCGAGGAGGGCGGACGGTTCGTCGGGCGGGCTAGCAGCTAGCATGAGGTTGGCTCGTCCGCTAGGCATATAAGGCGGGGGTGGCTTTTTCTGGTGAAATGGCAGGATCAACTTCCTAACAAAATAGAACTAGGGATTTGTATGGATTTGTGTGGAAATGCCCGAACCCTGGAACAACCTGAACCCCACTTCGGTAGCCCAGAAAAGCATCCGCCTCCATCCGAAGAGACGGGGAAAAGCTGCGAAGTATGTGCTGTCCGAGCGGCGGCTTGAAGGAGTACCCTGAGTGTTGGACATGTGACGGAGCGGGTTTGCAAGATCAGATGCTTCTCCCAGCGCCAGGACTTCAAAATGCACGCTGATTACAAATTGTCTTGACCCGGAACTCCCAATCTGAAGCCAAACATGTCACTGTAACTAAACACCAAATCAGAAAAGGCAACAGTCCCAAACAATCTCTTCGTACCTTCCACCTGTTTCAACCTTTCAGCTGGTTCAAAGACAAACAACAAGAAGCGCCAGCTTTCAGCTGGGAGGGTTTCGGATAAGAGCGTCTCAAAAACTGCACAATGCCACAACCATGGCGAATTCTCCTTCATTCACTGTTGTGTCTGCCTAAATTCTGCCATGTCTGCATGCTAACCAAAAGCTTGCCAAGTGTCAAGGCAAACCTGTACTGCTGCCTCCCATACGTAGCCTGTTCAAGTCGGCACGTCAGGCTGTGAACTGCGAATCACTCCGGTTACGTTGGGAGTCGACGGTTGTGTCCTTCTACCACTTCGTTGGGAGGGTTCGTTGGGGCAGGAGGAATGCGGCGTGTCCTGGTTCGGTTCGTAGCGATGCCCTTTGCTCCGAACGTAGCGCCCTCTTGCTCCGTTGGTAGTAAGGCCAGGAGCCCCTAAGGGGGGTAGCATCTGACCGCTCCGTGCGAGTCGCGATGCCCTTGGTTCCGTTAGGAGCTTCATGGTCCCACCGAGATTTGCAGGTCACCACAGGTCCGCGTTCTCTGGCGGAACGCGCCCTGCCTGTCCCAGTCATCTCGCAGCGCCTGGAGTCGGTTCAGATCATCTGCTTCAGAAGCCCTGTACCCGGAAGGAAGATCACAGCTGTTCAATTGAAACTCTCCATTCATCCACGTATTAAAAAAAAAGGAGCTTCTGCAGCAACAAGTTAACAGAAGAAAGATTGAGAGCTTCTCTGAAGATGCTGATCAAACTAGCAGCTACCAGCCAGGTTGATTCCAAAGCCTGGCTGTCCCGCGCAGTCGTTTCACAAATCTTCTCGATCGGCAGTGCCAGGAAAGGCTCCTGCAAAAACCGCACATGTTGATCCGGCAAAGAAAAGGGGGCACGGTAGATGTTCCCTATCTATCAACGAGCCAAGCAATATTGTCGTACGAAAAACATGGGCTGCAAGGCCAATATCTTGAAGTGTGTGAGGGTTAGAGCCGGATTCGGACAGTAATCGGGCGGATTCTGAAACAGGATTCTGAAACTGGTGATCTCCACATCATGCGATAGCGTGTGTGCCTGTGACATCATCTTCGCAGCACATCCAAACCAACGTGATTAGCCCCCCACCCAACCCCCCCGCCCCCCCCACCCCCCCACCCCCCCTTGTCCCCATCGTGTGGTCTCGACATCACGCCAACCCCTTCATCATTCACAAAGTTGCGGAATCCTGACAGTTGCGGAATCCTAGTTTCGGAATCATAGTTGCGGAATCCTGCGCAGTTGCGGAACTCGACTTTATCCAATGTGTGAGGATGACTCAAAGTTCACTGTGGCGTGATCGCCAGCATGTGTCATTCTCCTCCAGCAAGGCAGCCACATTCTCAAGACCTGCGTCAGAAGAGTGCGGAGCTGTTTGCGGATCTCTGAGCTGTCTGCGCTTTGACAAGTCTGCGAAAGCCGCAGAAAGGATGCTCTACTCGGCATATTTTGGGGAAGAGGCAAAGAAGATCAAGGCAACAAGAAGGGAAACAAGAAAGAAAACAACTTTCTCTTCTTTTGAAGCTAGTAGGTAGGTTGGAGGCCATCGCTATTAGGTTGAGTTGGAGGCCATTGCCGTTCTCTTTCCCTCCGCAAGGCCATCTCGGGGCCTAAAAGCGCCAAGGCCACGAGCTGCTCCGCAAGGACCATCCCGGCCTCGA